TTTCCATCAAGCGGGATTGGCCTAGGGGGGGATTTTATAGGGATTTTAAAGGGATTTTATAATATTAAACTTAATACAGGTTATTTAATATATATTTTAATTTGGCTTTTAGAGATATTTATTGTATTGTACTGTTTTTATTTACCTGTAAGCCGCCCTGAGTCCCTCGGGAGAAGGGCGGGGTATAAATGGGATTAAACAAATAAATAAATAAATAAATAACCTTTTAGCTCCAAAAGATGTATCTCAGTACATATGACTTTTAGCTCCAAAAGAGTTTTAACATCCATTAATAAATACAAAGAGTGAAAAGTAGAGCTTCTGTGGGCTTTATCCTACTTGTCTTTGCTAATGTTTGCTGGGCCTTTAAGTAATTTGCCTTTTGTTACGGGGTGGATATATTTTGTTGTAGACTTCACTTGTTTCCTATTCAGTGCAACGCATTCTTGTTCAATTTCTTTGCAAACTGGGTCTTGAGGGGAGATGTAACACAGAGCTTGGTAAGAGAAAGATGGAATCTTTTAAAGGTATTTATCTGGAAAGTAAGGACTTGTCGATGGAGTGTTGTCCAGCCAATGGGGAGGCCAAATTTAGTATTAATTAAGGGAGCAAAAGATCAGAAATACGTAATAATGACTTGAAAGAAGAGCTGCAAATGTGAGTTGATAAGGGTGATTATGCTCCTATTATAAATCCCTTAAAAAAAGATAACCGTTTTAATTGTTTTTGTCTTTTAGTATGCAAGGATTTGGATACCGGATTCAGAAGTAGTGTGGAAGTCGGCAGAACTTTTGAAAGATTATAAACCAGGAAACAAAGTCCTACATCTGCGACTTGAGGATGGCAAGGTAATGTTAATTTTACCATTATATTTAGTAAGGTTTGTTATGCTTTGATTCTGAAATCTTTACTTTCATGATATGACCCTGTTTATTCGGAATTTGCATCACCTGCTACCAAAGTCTTCCAGTTGGCTGTAAAGTATCCTTAAAATAAAATAAATAACATTTAAAAGGTACTTTATGTACTACCTATATACCATAACCATCAACCTGAGAAAAAAGTTTGTAAGCTGCTATAGAAAAACGTATCTTTAGGACGTCTCAAGTTTCCTTTTAATTTACACAGCTAATGAACTTTGTGGGGGGAAAAACTAAAAAAAATATTCTCCAAGTATAATTTGTGTTTGTTTTTTTTAGGATATTGAATATAAACTTGATGCTAAGTCTAAGGACCTACCACCCTTGCGAAATCCAGACATACTTGTGGGTGAAAATGACCTGACAGCACTCAGCTATCTTCATGAACCTGCTGTTCTCCACAATCTCAAAGTTCGGTTTATAGACTCAAAACTCATTTATACATATTGTGGTAAGCACAGACCCCCTGAAGTCTCTTTCATGTTATTCCTCATTGGTGTAGGTCAGGGGTCCTCAAACGTGGCCACTTTTAAGACTTGTGGACTTCAACTCCCAGAATTCCCCAGCCAGCGGCTGGCTGGGGAATTCTGGGAGTTGAAGTCCACAAGTCTTAAAGTGGCCAAGTTTGAGGACCCCTGGCGTAGGTAAATGGCACATTCCAGGCCAGGAATTTAAAAAAAAATTGCAGTTCTGAAATTTTTTTTTAATATTTCTTTCACAACTACAGGGGCCTGAGCCTTTTTTTAAAGTCATGAAACCTCTGTATTTTTGCTGGTTGTGAAAAACCACAATGCTGCAATGATTGGGTTTTTCCAGTCTTGGCATAGGTTGGTATCGAGTAAATTTGTAGAATAGACACGATAACTTTCAGATATGCACAGGCATTAAGCTTACCTGAACTTGTTAGATGCTTTTTTAAACTTTACTGTGTGATTATTGAGCAAAGAACACATGCCTTTCCAGTTGTAGAGATAATGTGTGCATGCAGTTTGTGCATCCGTGATACACTTAATAGATCTTTCATCAGTTTTTTAGAAGGTGGTGCAACAAGGGAAGTTCTTTTAAAAAATGGGAACATCTTAAAAACGCATGAGAATTAGGAAGAGATTTAAGCAAAATGTGTTTAGTAAACTTTCTGTCAACGCTGTGACAAACTGAACTAAACTATAAATTTAACTTTTTTTTTTCACATGCCTTTCCCCTTCTCCATAGATCCTATTTCCATCCTGTTCTTTACAAGTATTCTTTATTTGTCTTTTGTATTTCCAGTTAGTGGGCTTAGCCCAGGGGTAGGCAACCTTGGCTCTTTTATGACTCGTGGACTTCAACTCCCAGAATTCCTGAGCCAGCATGGCTCAGCTTGGAAACCTCTCCCTTTCCCCTCAGCATGGCTGGCTCAGGAATTCTGGAAGTCCACGAGTCATAAAAGAGCCAAGGTTGGCTACCCCTGCTAGCTCATTGGTGTTCAACTATGGCCGCTTTAAGACTTGTGGACTTCAACTCCCAGAATTCCTGAGCCAGCGTGGCTCAGCTTGGAAACCTCTCCCTTTCCCCTCAGCATGGCTGGCTCAGGAATTCTGGGAGCTGAAGTCCACGAATCATAAAAGAGCCATTTTAAGTCTTTTCTGCCTGGTGCTTTAGTTCCCTCTAGTGTCCATTTGTAACCTTCACCAAGTCTCCTAATATGGGTTTAGTTCCTTTTTAATCATCTCTTTTGAGTATACAATTTAATTACATGCCTGCTTTTTGACTCTTACAGCAAAAATAACCAATATTCCAAATCTCTCTGGTCTCCCAATCTGATCAGAACTTAATCTTTTTGCCAACTGTATAT